TATCTGCTCGCTTGTGCCATATTTACTTGATATATGTCCTTTGTCAACATTGGGCAATAAATCGACTAGCTCATGTTACTTATGTGGCCTAGCTAGAACTATATGCTTAGCCATGCTTAATTACCACTAGCTTAGTTGATGGGATAATTACCGTATTAGACCTTTTAGTATCAGAATGAGCTGCGTGCTCGAGACATCTGGCCATGCTTACTGGTCGTAATTATCCAACTAAAATGCGACTGAATGGTGGGCTGTGGGTGCATGGTTTTGCTGGTCGCACCCATGGCAGTTAAGGACCGGTTCGTGGGATGCCCTGGAAGAACTTATCGTACTTACCACAAGCCAGCGTGGGGAACGGCTGGGCTTGTAGTGTAGCTTTCCTCTAGTCAACGCATCCAGGCAAGGGTGGGCGTGATGGAGCGGGGCGGGCCCTGCGACAGCCTCTGTCGCTTCCGGATTCACCTAGGCACGAGAGGGGACTGCCCGTTGCCCGCTGGGGACGGGGGTGAAACCTGAGGTGTGGTGTGCTTGGCTAGAGGGGGTTATGCGAAGGGTCCTGTCACGGCCTCTTTCCGGTATGTCGTGGTGGCATGTCGGTGCACGGAAACGTGTCGTGGGGCTGTGTCTTGTGGGTACAGTTGTACACCTCTGATCAGAGTAAAACTATTCGAATAGCCGTGCCCGCGATTATGGGCGGTCGACCAGATTCACCGTGATTAGTCCCATCTTAATAAATCGACCCAATACACTGTAGTTCTGGTGGGTTGGTTGGGCCTGTTCAACGTGGTGTAGCGTTGATCAGTGGAGATGTAATGTTACTTTAATTACTCAATAGTTTTACTGTTTTGCTCAATAAAATGTTTTACAACCGCCTTTATGCAAATAGCCACAAACCATCCTTGTATCCCCTTGCACATCTGCATCGTTGGTGTGGCTTGCTAAGTACGGTGGTTGTACTCAGCCTTGCTATTATTTTCCCCTTTTTAGAAGTGTAGTGCTTCTGAGCTGAAGACGAAGTTAGAAGACCAAGGCTCTGACCCTAGTTGAGTTTTGCCTGTGGAGTGGAGCTGATGCCCCGCTAGGATCGCTTTTTTCCGCTGCTGCTGCTTTTGTTTCGGTGTGAGGACTAAGTGCCTCTTCTGTAAGTATTTTACGTTTTATTTACGTTTGGAACTGTATATTACTTGTCGTTTTGTGTACCCTGGCTGGTCCTGGACAGGGATTTAATACACAAAATAGTCTGGAAATTTGGGCTAAATTTCTGGGCGTGACAAAGTGGTATCAGAGCCAACTTGATTATAGGTTGAGCCAAATGGTCAAACCCTAAGGACAAGTTTTCTGAAAACCCTATTTGCAAAATGTCTCCTCTTGCCCTTCGGCATTTCTTTGCGAAATGGTTTTTAAATTTCTCCTCCCTGCCCCTCCAATTCTTTTAGTTGTCAAACCTGGAGGACAAACCGCCAGCGTCATGCCTGTTCGGAAGTCAAGTCGAGCCTCAAGCTTCGTGCAAAGAGCGAAAAGATCTGCCCAGAGTCGTCGTTCCGCGAAGATTAAAGAAGAGTTTCCCCAGAGATGACCTAAACCCAATCTGTCCCAGAAGAGTAGTTTCGTTAGCTTCTAGATCGTGTGTTGTTTGCTTGTGTGTAGGGGTATGGTTTGCGTCATTGGTGGGGATGCGACCATACTAGGTTGTTTGCTTAAGCAACTTGAATCAATAAAAATCTACTCACAACAGATCATTAGTCAAGTGGTTTAAGGTCTTATCTTTAGCAACCCCTCTCTTCCACCTCTCTTCCGCCCTGGCAGAAGATGGACAGTGTTAGAGAGAAGAGCAACGATGGTGTATTAAAGTCACAGATCAATGGTTCAGTTGAAAGCTGCAAGGTACCCCAATGCCAGAAGAACCCCTGCTCCTGATTAACTTTTGGTGTCCAAGACCAGATGATGGGTGTATTGATGCAGGAGATGCAAAGCTTGATGCAAGGTCAGATGTAGCGGAAGTAACTCCAGCCGCAGTGTGTTGAGGTCAGAATCAGTGGATCAGTCCGAGACAACAAGCTACCAGCTGAGTCAGAGCACCTCGCTCTGGTCAGATTATGGTTAGCCAAGGTCAGATGATGGATGTGTCAGATGTTGATGCAGCAACCACAGAGTCCGATGCAACAGATGCAACGACAGTGTCTCCAACAACAGGTACAAGCTCAGATGCAAGCCGGAATCAGGATCAGAGCCAAAGCCAGTTTGTTTTCCAAGAGCAAGCACCCGCAACCCCAAATAGTAGACCACCAAGCCCTTAGCAGACCAGCACAGCCAAGCCGCCACTAATCCTAGGAGCAACAAGTGATACCTACAGAAGGTATGGGTTTCGAGGGCACCGATAAAGATTCTATTGTTTCGCTAGCAACTGCTTCAAGGCTACAGAATCAGCATTAGTAGGGCAATCAATGTCAGGGAATCAGTGATCTACTTTAACTACAGAGAGACAGCTCAATTCTTCAGCAGCGACTGCAGTCAATGTCTCAAGCATCAGACTTCAATGTGGTTATCAACATCAGCCATGCACCTCATGCTGCTCCAGCTCAGTGGTCTGGCAAGAAATTAATAGAAGAGTTGCACCAACAGTGAGAAGGTCTCGTTCCTTTCAGCTACCAAGAGGATTGATGGTTGTCTTAGGAACGTCATCAGTCAAAGTTTTGTTCTTATGGGAGCTTCAGCTCGTAACCAACAAAAGGACAAGTCAACCATGTCAGAATCACAATGGGTAAATGTGCTACCGATTAGCAGTTCGGTAAGCAAGAGTCAACAATTGTGCACAGGCCTTTGGTGTTCAAATACCGTCCTCATGCATAGAAGTTCCAATCCAGTGATATAGTTGGAAGGGGAATATTGAATAGAGTAGGAGTCAAGCGGTTCTTTCCTTTTCACCTTTGAGTATGCAAAAGCAAGTTAACATGTGTATCTGCAAGTTACAAGAAACCAAGAGTTTCCCTTCTAACTCATCGCACTTTTGTTGTGCTCCAAAACCTGTTTGCGAGCCAGTAAAGAAAGGATTAACCAATGAAGTGACAATGGTTGGATCCATAGCGCTCGACACTATGAAATCTCTCTAAAGGCAGTATCAAGGGTATTCAAGTGTAAGGAGTAATGAAAAAAAAATTCAGAAGTAACACCATACAAGGAATCTTGGGAACTCTCTACTCGTGGAAACCGTTAGAGAATGGTAAGCTGCAATTACACCTTAGTGGTACGATTACGAATCATGGATGGTTCTCCATAAGTTCGAAGCAACCACTATGAATTCCAGAAATCCTCATGATGTTTCTCGGAAGTTGGCAGAAATTGTTCCATACATGGGCGAGAAATATACAAGAATCAGGGTGTGTGGCAGAGAACCTCTTTTCTACATATCAGCTTTACCGAAGATATGAATGTGAAGTTGTTATCATCAGAGAGTAGAAACTCTCGGCAGCATCAAAGTCAGTTTTCGGCAGACGCCCAGATTGCAGTATTTTGGGGAAAGCAGTTGCAGGGCTTATAGTACGTCAACCCAGGAAGAGTCAACAAAGGAGGATCGACGAAGTGTAATGTCGTGTCAAGAGAAGGACTCTTGAGTTTGATCTGCTAAGTGATCAGTGCTTGTTTCACAGAGTGACAGCTATGCAATCTGTTTAAGCATATGGTACCGAAGTCAGGCCAGAAGCATGTTAGTTATGCCAGCAGTAGAACTGACGGGGAAGTAGTCAAGAGTTAGTAAGATCAGGAGCTAAATGAGAATTTCTTTATGAGGAGTTTCCTATCAACAACTGAGGGTTAAGTTCCAAGTCTTGTCCTGGATGAAAGTGCATCGTCATTGCTTTATTTTGATTGATCGATGAAGTTTTCTATTTTCAAAGTCAGGGCCATTCGTAAATTCGAGAAGTGTCGATTTTTCTTCAAGGACAATAGTTCAATTATTCCCGGTCACGCGAAAGTATGACTACTCTCTATAAGGGGGGTAGGTCGCAGAGATGAGTTTTGGTTCACCTCGTTGCCGTTTCCCTTAAAGATTCAACCCAGTGCAGCAAGTTGGTTAGTACTTGAAAGAGCCAGCTGCAAGGCGTCAGCAGAGTAACACTGATCCCAAGTTGTCTAATTGAATTCGAAGGTACGCCGGTGAGGCCAGGTCAACCGTTTGGCTTAAAGAAGTAGCATCAGGAACAGCCGCAATCCAGACAAGGACAGACCAAGCCAATTTCCTGAAAATACTTGTGGTTTGAATCAAGAGCAAGTCAAGCAAAGTCATTGTCTGTGGGTTACGGAAGTCAGTTTCAAGGTTTTGGAAAAACTACACCGATCCCCGGTCAGCAAAGTGAATCCTCAGTTTATCTAATTGCCAGCATTAGCAATTCAGTCCAAAAAAAATAGAAGTTCTACGAGCACTAGCAGTTCTGGTCAAGGTCAGACTAATCAGAGTCGGTACGTCAGTTTATGGGAAGCAACAGAACAGCAAGCTTATGCAGGTTTGGTTCATCGAGCAATCGGTCAGTTGAATCAGAAAGAGGCAGCATGTGTAAGCAGATCAGTCAGACCGCTCGCCAGCACCAGCTTTCTTTCTAGCCATCCCAGAATCTCGGGACGAGATTCCTATAAGGGGGGTAGATTTGTAACGCCCCGATTTTCGTTCGGGATTAAAAATCATTAAATAATGCATTTTCTAAAAATTAAATAAAAGTTAATCAATTTAATCAAGTGAATTATTGGGCGAATTAAAATTTTCCCTTAAAAGATCATTGGCCGAGAATATTTTGTAATATTCTTTGTGCCCTAAAACACTCTCCGGATTTTTCCGTGAATTTTCGGAGCTCAAGAAATAATTTTAAAAGCACAAAGTTCATTTTAACCAATTAAAAAAAAAGAAAACAAATAAAATCCCCTCCCCTCCCTTTTGGGCTTGGCCCAAGCCTTCCCCTCCTCTCCCGTGGGCCGCGCGCCTCCTCCCTCTCTCGGCCGGCCCGCGCCTTGCGAAAGTCTGCTTTACGTCCCCCGGTTTCCCTCCTCTCTCTCCATCCGGCCGACAGGTGGGACCGTGGACCCCACCTGTCAGCTCCTCCTCCTACCTCTCGCCGGCCAACCCCAACCGCCATTACCGGCCACGTCCCACCAAATCCGGTGCCCTCCCGCTCGCGCCTTCGCGCCCAAACCAAGTAAAATCGGTTCCTCACCACCTCCTCCACCAAATCCCTCACTTTTCCCCAATTTTTGGCGCCAAATCGAGCCCCCACTTCGCCCACGATGTCGCCCACGTCGCCGGCCGTTGCCGCCTCAAATCCACCACGTCCGGCCACGATTTCTCCTCCCCAATCCTATAAAAACGATCCCCGGAGCATCCTCTCTCTTTTCCCCTCCTCACCCGAGCCCGCCGCGCTCTCTCTCGCCCTCCCCACGCCGCTCCCGCGCGCCGCCGCTCGCCGTCGACTTCCAGCCGCGCGCCGTCGCCGCTCCAGACACCGCCGCGTTGCGCCGCCACCACCGTTAGCCTCGTTGTCCCGAGCTCCATCCCGGCATCCACTTTATTTCCCAGAACCACTGCCGTGATGCCGTGCCCGCGCGCAACCCGAGCCGCCGCCGCTTTTGCCGCCTCCAGCCGCCTCTTGCTGCAGCGCCCAGGCCAGCCGCGCCTCGTCCGCTGCACGGTCGTCGTCTTCCGCCGCTCCAACCCATCCTCTAAGTTCGCCTGTGAGCTCTACCTCTTGTCGTCGCCATCGGCCTTCATTTCCAATCACCCCGCATCAGTCCTCCCCTCCCTAACTCCCTCTTCTCCTTCTGAAGGTCAAGGGCGACCCCGTCCGCCCTCCGTCCTCGCAAGCCGCCATCGGGCAATCGTCGTCGCCGTCATCTTCCTCCGCGCCGGCCGCCGCTTCCGGTAAGGACCTCTCCTCTCTTCCCTTTTTTTTCCGTCCCCCTTTCTTGCCGACCGCCGCCTCTTGGGGTGCGTCGCCGTCCCCGTGCGCGCCGCTGTCCTCCGGCCGCCCGCCGCCGTTCCACGTCGCCGGCTGCTGCCGCCGGTGGCCGCATGCTGCCGCCGCGCCTTGGCTCGGCCGGGCCGGCTTCGTGTCGCGCCTGTGCCCCTGGCTGCCGCTCCCCTCGGCCGCCCGATCGGCTCAGGCCGATCTGGGCCGTCCACGTGGTGGACGCGCACCCGAGGCCACGTGTGGACCATGTCCACCGTGCGCCCTCCCCCTTTGACTCGCTGACGTGTGGGGCCCGCGTGTCGGCACCGGCCGCCCCTTGCTGACGTCAGCGAGGTCCATTTCCTTTGTAAAAATAAATAATAATTGCGCAATAAATCGAGTTTAATTCTAGAAATTCATTTAAATGGCTCAAAACTTCTAAAATTGATATCTAATTCATACGAACTCCAAATTAGGCCATTCAACTTGCAAAATTCATCTAAAATTGATCTCTACATGTTTGTTTACTTTTTATGTAGTGTTGCCTTGGTTTTTATTAGAGTTTTTCCTTGTTTTGCATGCCAGCGTGTAGTTCCCGTCGTTTCGGAAGTCCGCGGTCGCGAGGAAAAGAGTTCGGAAGATCAAAGTGAAGAAGCAAGGCAAGTCACACATTCCCCTTGAGCATGTTGATCCCAATTTACAAATGTTTTACTGTTTGCAAATAAATATGCATATTTTGCTAATTACATGGGGTCAGGGTTTTACCTATCTGCTCGCTTGTGCCATATTTACTTGATATATGTCCTTTGTCAACATTGGGTAATAAATGGACTAGCTCATGTTACTTATGTGACCTAGCTAGAACTATATGCTTAGCCATGCTTAATTACCACTAGCTCAGTTGATGGGATAATTACCGTATTAGACCTTTTAGTATCAGAATGAGCTGCGTGCTCGAGACATCTGGCCATGCTTCATGGTCGTAATTATCCAACTAAAATGCGACTGAATGGTGGGCTGTGGGTGCATGGTTTTGCTGGTCGCACCCATGGCAGTTAAGGACCGGTTCGCGGGATGCCCTGGAAGAACTTATCGTACTTACCACAAGCCAGCGTGGGCAACGGCTGGGCTTGTAGTGTAGCTTTCCTCTAGTCGACGCATCCAGGCAAGGGTGGGCGTGATGGAGCGGGGCGGGCCCTGCGACGGCCTCTGTCGCTTCCGGATTCACCTAGGCACGAGAGGGGACTGCCCGTTACCCGCTGGGGACGGGGGTGAAACCTGAGGTGTGGTGTGCTTGGCTAGAGGGGGTTATGCGAAGGGTCCTGTCACGGCCTCTTTCCGGTATGTCATGGTGGCATGTCGGCGCACGGAAACGTGTCGTGTGGCTGTGTCTTGTGGGTATAGTTGTACACCTCTGATCAAAGTAAAACTATTCGAATAGCCGTGCCCGCGGTTATGGTGTGAGGACTAAGTGCCTCTTCTGTAAGTATTTTACGCTTTATTTACGTTTGGAACTGTATATTACTTGTCGTTTTGTGTACCCTGGCTGGTCCTGGACAGGGATTTAATACACAAAATAGTCTGGAAATTTGGGCTAAATTTCTGGGCGTGACACCCGAGGACCTCACCACTATGCCACCCTAGAGAGAGATCGAGTTCCGAATTGATTTGGCACCGGGAACTGCTCCAATTTACAAGAGGCCATACAGAATGGCAGCAAACAAGCTAGCGGAGGTCAAGAAGCAAGTGGATGAACAACTGCAAAAAGGGTACATTCAGCCGAGTACTTCACCTTGGGGTGCTCCGGTCATTTTTGTCGAGAAGAAGGACAAGACGAGGAGAATGTGCGTCGATTATCGCGCACTCAATGAGGTCATAATCAAGAACAAATATCCTTTGCCGTGGATTGATGATCTGTTTGATCAACTGAAAGGAGCTAAGGTGTTTTCCAAGACAGACCTGCGATCAGGCTATCACCAGTTGAGAATTCGGGAAGAGGACATTCCCAAGACAGCGTTCACCACTCGGTATGGGTTGTATGAGTGCACGGTTATGTCTTTTGGACTCACCAATGCACCTGCATTCTTCATGAACCTGATGAACAAAGTGCTCATGGAATTTCTGTATAAGTTTGTCGTGGTATTCATTGATGACATTCTTATCTATTCCAAATTGGAAGAAGAGCATGAGCAACATCTTCATCTGGTACTCAAGAAGTTGCAAGAGCACCAGCTTTGTGCCAAGTTCAGCAAATGCGACTTCTGGTTATCAGAGGTCAAATTCTTGGGTCACGTCATTACAGCTTAGGGTGTGGCAGTTGATCCATCGAATGTGGAGTCAGTTACCAAGTGGACCCCACCTAAGACAGTGTCATAGATTCGGAGTTTCCTTGGACTTGCGGGTTATTACCGTCAGTTCATTGAAAATTTCTCCAGGATTGCCAGACCTATGATTCAGTTGCTTAAGAAAGACGAGAAATTCAAGTGGGCAGCCGAGTGTGGCAAGAGTTTTGAGGAGCTCAAGAAGAAATTAGTGTCTGCTCCAGTTCTGATTCTGCCCGATCAGACGAAAGACTTCCAAGTCTATTGCGACGCGTCCCGCCAAGGGCTAGGATGTGTTCTGATGCAAGAAGGTCAAGTGGTCGCATACGCCTCGCGGCAATTGCGCCCATATGAAAGCAATTACCCTACTCATGATCTAGAGTTGGCAGCAGTGGTCCACCCTCTAAAAATGTGGCGGCACTACCTCATCGGTAACCGTTGTGAAGTTTACACGGATCACAAGAGTCTGAAGTATATCTTCACCCAGCCTGATTTGAATCTCCGACAGCGAAGATGGTTAGAGTTGATAAAATATTACGACATGGGGATACACTATCATCCAGGCAAAGCTAATGTGGTAGCAGATGCTCTGAGCAGGAAAAGCTACTGCAACGCCTTGGGTATTGGAGACATGAGTGACAAGTTGCTACAAGAGCTTGAACATCTCAACTTGGGAATTGTAGAACATGGGTACGTGGCTGCCCTGGAGGCACGGCTTACGCTCGTGGACCAAGTCCGAGCAGCTCAGGTAAATGATCTTGAAATAGCTGAGCTGAAAAAGAATATGAGGGTCGGAAAAGCCCGGGACTTCCATGAAGATGAACACGGCACAATCTAGTTGGGAGAAAGATTATGCGTACCTGATGACAAAGAGCTGAAAGACCTGGTACTCAGCGAGGCTCATCAGACTCAATACTCCATTCATCCAGGCAGTACCCAAGGAGGAGGCCGGCCTCCCCAACCACCACTCCCGCCTCTCCCTCGCCTCCCGGGCCACGTCGCCCACGTCGCCGCCTTCCCCCGCGCCTCCCCACGTCTACTCCCTCTATCTCCCGCCCACGCCCGCGCCGAAATGGCCTGCACCTCCCCGCGCCTACTCCCTCTCTCTCCCGCCTGCGCCCGCGCCGAAACGGCCGGGATTCAATTTTTGAATCCCGACGGCCACACCCTCTCTCCACCCCCCACTACTCCGGTGAAATCGGGCCATTTCCCGCTCCCCCGAGCCCTCTCTTCCTCTATTTAAGCATCACCGCACCTCCCTCTCCCTTTTTCCCCATTTCGACGAGCCTCCCCGTGCTCTCCTCCGCCCTAGCACCGCTGCCCTCCTCTCCGCCACCGCCGCCGCCGCTCCGGTCGCTGCAAGCCGTTGTTGCCGAGCCGCGCCGTCGACGCCGTCACATTCGCCGTCGTGCGGGCCGCCTCATCCACCTCTCCTCTGTCGGAATCTACCGCCAGAACTCCTCCTTCGTTGCGCGCCGGTGAGCACCGCCATGGCCGCCGCCTTTGGCCGGCGTTCCCGCTCTCGATGATCTCTCTCTCCCTCTCTAATCTTCCCCATTTTTGTTCCTTAGGTTCTCTTGAAGCCCGTCCGCCTCTCGTCGTCCGCCGTCCGCCGCTCGCCGCGCCGTTCGCCGTCGGTGAGGAACCCCCACCCATCCCTCTCTCTCTCCCGTACTGCCGCCGCCGGTTTGTCGTGTCGCCTCGCTTTGGGGCTGTGCCGCCGTGCATCGCCGTGTAGCCACCGCCGCGCCGCCGCTGTCTACCGCATCGCCGCCGCCGTCCGCCGGTCGCCGCCGGTGCCGCGCCGTCGCCGAGTGGCCGCTGGGCCGGCTTGAGCCGTCCGTGCGCGCCGCCGCGTGCTGCCCCGCCGTGGCTGCCACGTCGGCGCCACGTCAGCACCACGTGGTGCGCCGCCTCCCTCCCGGTCCGAGAACCCGGTCCTTCGCGGACCGGCATCCCGAGCCTATGACATGTGGGGCCCACCTGTCGGCGCTGCTCTCTCTCTCCGATGACATCGCCAGGGTTAAATATTATGCAATAAATCAATTAAGGACTTTTCTGTTTATAGTAAAATCACAGTGAATCTTCTAAAATTCATAGAAAATTCATCCGTGCTCCGTTTAAGCCCATTCAAGTCTTAGTAAATCAAGAAAAATGCAAAGAATCCATTAAAAATGGTTTTGTTCTCTATTTCAGTAGTCTTACAGCCTGTTTGCATTGTTTGCTTTGTATGTCGCTTAGATTCTGGCTCTCCCGACGCTCCGGTGTACATTGAGATAGTTGCCGAGGTTCCTCCAGTAGCAGAGCAAGGCAAGTCATGCTTGTCACTTGAACATATTGATCCCATAATGCAAATGCTCTATTGTTTTTCTTTAAATACTGAATTGTTTTATAATGTTACTATGGAATGGTTACCTACTGTTTCAGCCATGCTATTTGTACCATGCTCCTTTGTTAGCTTGGGATATAATATGAATAGATATTGGATTAGGGAATGCTTAGCCATGCTTAATTCAAGTAGCACACAATGGGCCCCGCAAAAAAAAGTAGCACACAATGGGGGAATTACATTAATGCATAGATATCAGATTCTAGTATTGATGTTGGTTTAGTGCCACCATTCCGGTGTTGGTTAATTAAAAGATACAAAATGGTGGGCTGTGGGTGCATGGTTTTGATGGTTGCGCCCATGGCACTTAAGGACAGGTTCACGGGAAACCCTGGAAGAATTCCTCGTACTTACCACAACCAGCGTGGGCAACGGCTGGGCTTGTAGTGTAGCTTTCCTCTAGCTGACGCATCCTGGCAAGGGTGAGCGTGTTGGAGTTCGGATGGGCCCTGCGATGGCCTATGCGGCTTTCAGATTCACCTAGGCACGATAGGGGACTGCCTGCTACCTTGCAAGGAGTGGGGGTGAAACCTGAGGTGTGGTGTGTTTGGTTAGAGGGTGTTATGCGAAGGGTCCTGTCACGACCTCTTTTCGGTATGTCGTGGTGGCATGTCGGCACACGGGAACGTGTCGTGGGGCTGTGTCTTGTGGGTACAGTTGTACACCTCTGATCAGAGTAAAACTATTCGAATAGTCGTGCCCGCGGTTATGGGCGGTCAACCAGATTCACCGTGATTAGTCTCACCCTAGTTTAGTCTAATGGAATTGATTAGTTCAGGTGGATGGTTGGGCCTGTTGCAATGTGGTGTAGCGTTGGACAATGGATGGTAAATATTGTTTAATTATTACAACTGTTTTACTGCTTTCAACTACTGTTTATAAATGCTCGCTTTATGCAAATGAATCGCTCTAGCTACCCTTTGGTTATATC